AGCTCTTTTGACGATAATCTGAGCTGAAACCAACGCAAATTTTAGATGACCTTACATTTTATTGTTTATGATATTTTAGGCCCGCACTTTTTTTCTAATTTTGCCCTGTGTTTGATGGAACGCTACTTGCTTGCTTGCTTATTTCGAGCGAACTCGAACTCCATTAACTAGCTTCATCCATTCCTTCCGGTTTTCCATGATGTTCTTCAGTTCAGCTATGCTCAAACCAGTATCATTTTGCAGCTGGTCTACGTATGTTAATGCTGGTCTTCCTCTCTTTCTTGCGCCGTGCTTTGGTTCCCAGAGTAGTAAATCACTTATCACCTCATCCTTTTTTCTCCAACAGTGTCCTATAAACCGCAGCCTCCTGATCATCAGTGTATCTGTAATCTTAGGAAGATTGCCGTACAGTTCTTTGTTGGTTTTATGCTCCTTCCAGGAAACTCCAAGAACTGCTCTGAGCATTCTTGTGTACGTACCATCTAGTCTATTCATCATCTTTCCAGTCATCGTCCAGCATTCAGCACCATAAAGCAGTACACTTTCAACTGTGGCCCGAAAGAAACCTATTTTGAGATGATTTTTTAGGTTTGATTTCCACACTTTCATCATTTTGTTGAGTGCACTCCAAGCGTGTCCAATTCTTATATTCATGTCCTTTTCACCGGATTGTATCCACGAACCAAGGTATTTGAAGTTATCTACTTGCTTCAATTTGTTCCCTGCCAGTGTGACAAGATCACCTACAGGTTGATTGTACAGCATGTATTCCGTTTTCTTGTAGTTAACATGCAGACCCACTGTTTTCGCAGCAACCTCCAGTCTTAATAAGAGAAGTTGTGCCTCTTCAAGATAGTCAGAAATTAGGGCAAGATCATCCGCGAAATCAGTGTCGGTGATGTATGTTGCTACATGACGGGAGCTCTGCCGTGGTGTAAGAGTGAACCCAGTGTGTGTTTCTCTAGTAGCTTCTCTAAGGGCATAATCCAAGGCTATGATAAATAGGAAAGGTGCGAGTGTGTCTCCTTGCAGAACTCCCGCAAGAATTTCAAAGAATTCCGTATCACCATCAGGAGTTATCACCTGTGCTTCGGTGTCCTTGTAGAGTATGCTGATGGCATCCACTATCTTTGTTGGAATTCCATATGCCTTCAAGATCTCCATCAATTTCCCACGATGTATCGAATCAAAGGCTTTACTGAAGTCTACGAAAGTCAATATTGCAGGAAGCTGTTTTTCTTTTATTCCCTCTATGAGCCTACGCAGAGTTAAAATTTGCGGTAGTGTAGATCTACCCGTACGAAATCCATTTTGGTTCACCCTGAGCAGAGGATCCAGATGAGGTCTTATTCGATCTAATAGAATCTTGTTATAGATTTTCGCAGCTGTGACAGTTAGGGATATACCACGATAGTTTCCTGTGTCACCCAAGTCACCTTTCTTTGGTAGGGGTATTATTCCACTTTTAACCCATATATTCGGTCGATCACCATTGAATGTTTTGTTGCAGATGTCAAGCAATTGTTGATTTAAGGCACCAGTTTTCCAGACTTCAATTGGTATGTTGTCGAGACCATGTGCTTTGTTATTTTTGAAACCTTTGATACTTTTAACCAGTTCTTCCATGGTTATGTTATCCGTGTTGATGGGAAGAGGTTCATGTATTATGGAAGCAGTTGGTTTTATTGTGACACTGGGTGGTTGACCTAGCAGGTTTGAGAAGTGTAACTTCCATTTACTGACACGGTCTTCAGGACTTTTGGCTTTTATTCGACCCCTGTTTGTGCCCTTTCTTCTTGTGAACTCGTTTACCGTTTCCCATGCAAGACCGGATTTTTGGTGTTGTATAGCGTCAGTAATTGCATGAATCTTTTCATTCACATACTTCTCTTGTTCTCGATCGTAAGATTCCTGTAGCTCTTGCTTGGCCTCCTCCAGTTTTACAGCACTGCTTCTGGTATTTCTTCTCAAGGATACCTCATAAGCATTCTTCACCATTTCCCTTTTTTCTATGATGTTTTCATTTTCCCACGGAACGTGTTGCTTTATCTTGGCCTTCACAGGTACACTGATTTCTGCAGCTTTTTCATGGGCTGTCATGATATTCTCATACATCTGGTTTGCATCCTCATTACCATGTAAGTCCTGTAGAGTTTGGTATCGGTTGCAGACTTCAACAGTATACATGTCTTTGATGATGTTATCATTGAGAAGCTTGTTCCAATCGTATCTGATCTTTTTCTTACCAGATGGTTTACTTTGCCGCAGGCTTAGTCTTATTTTAGCTGTGACAATACGGTGATCAGATCCCACAGAACAGAAGGTGTTATAAGCTTCACAGTTTAAAGCACTATTTTTCCATTTGTTGTTTATTAGGATATAATCTATTTGACATTTGGCTCCAGAAGGTGATGTATGAGTCCAAAGCTTACCTTCGCGCTTTTTAAAACTGGTGTTCAGCGGTTTGAGATTGCATTCTAACATGTAGTTTAGGAGCAATTGCCCATTCTCGTTGGTGTGTTTGTTATAGACTGACCCCTTAGCACCACTTGCACCAATAAGGAACGCTACTGAGCTGGCACTAATGTCGGACTAATGGAAATCTGTCTACTATGCGATATCAACATCACTGATTAAAGTACAAGCCACCAGCATGCAGAGATTTCGATCTCTTTTAGCCTGCGAATATGGCCGTCTCTCCCTCGCTCCTCGCCCTGGGGCCAGGGACATGGAAACGTAAAGCAAAAGATCCCGCAGGCGCTCTCATGTAGAGTAACCCTATGAGCCATGGAATTAGCCTGCGAAAACAAACGTTTCTACTCGCTCATCACCACTGGGAAAACGTCTGTTTTCTCAGGCTTCCGTGGAATGGGGTATGGTTTGAGGTCAGTCCTTACATAGGGAATCATTTTTGATCCACCACGGTTAAAACTTCCGATCGAGCCGCGTTTTTGTTTCTGATTCAAAGGGGTTTTATTCACATGTAATTGGAAAAAGTGGAACCCCGTGAATACGGTCACCATACATGTCAAGGACACTATTTAATAGTGACTCGACGAGGATAATAAAAAAGAGTCGAAAAGGGAGCTGCAAAGGACCAGCAGTCCTGGGGTGTGGCCATTCGCGCGCCCGCGGTGGTTACTTTTCGCGCGACTAGATCTTTGAGTGGTTACCAAGTCATTTGTTTTCGAAGTGTGTTTCTCGGTGGGAATATTGATGCACGAAGCATACAAATAATTTGATTTTCTTGGCTTAATAACCTTTTATGGGGGTTTCTATGAACTTAATCAAGAATTTACACGAAGAGTGCATGGTAAGTGCTGTATAACCTTTTACCCTGTCGGTACTCTTACCGAGTTAACCAATAATTTACAACGAGCATGTTACACAACCACTTCTTTCATAAGCTTACATCAAACACAACATAACTTACTTTTATTCAAGGTATCATAAAAACAAAAATACAAAAATAACACCATGAAAAGGAAGTTAGAGAGGTGGAACCTATATTAGGTAATTAACTTTTTTAAAAATAAAAACAATTAAAAACAATTAAATCAGAGTCTAAAGGGTATGAAATTTCACATAATAAAAGACTAAGAAATTATGAAATACACATACAGTATATGATTTAAAGCGCGAAAGGGAAAAGAGAAGGGAGTGCCTGCTATAAGAGGCGGTGTTTTTGTATTCTGCCTACCAATTTTCCAACTAATCCGATAATGTCAACTGTCAATACCTGACCAATCGCAATCACATTTATCCAGTAAATAGCATTATTATTCATTCAAATATTTTCCCGATTCTGATTGGCCAAAAGCACATGCACAATTCACCATAACCAGCCACTGATTACCAAATTTGGAAGAATTTTGCATTTAATGACCTGATGAAGTCAAAAGTGCAGCCTTCTTGCATGTTAATGCACTGTTAACGGAGAAGACCTGGGGACGAGGTTGAGTTGTTTTGGTTGTGAAAACTAAAATGGCGGACACTTCACTCGTTTCAAGAGTAAGAACTACAGTTGGAACTAGGCAAAATAATGGCTAAAAACATAGCAAAAACAGCAAGAAGACAACTCAGAGGGCGACATCTGCTATTTGGAAAATATTTACGGAGCTGGACAAATCTAAACGTACACTATCAAAGATAAACTTAACGTCGATGCAGGTAAGCATGTTTTAGCTATGTTTTTAAACCAGGAATTATTTTGAATGAATAATAAAGCAATTAATGAATTCCACTTTCATTGAATATGAAGAATTAAGCAGATCTTGGAGGGTGTTATCCACCTCGGCCTTTGGCTTTGGTTCATAACACCCTCCTTGATCTGCTTAATTCTTCATATCCTACTCAGCCTCATTCATTAACTGCTTAATTATCCACCTTTTGAACAACTGGGGCCAGATAAACAACCAACTAGCTATGTGGATAGTAGATAGGAAAGTTAACTACATTGTTCACTGGATTAGGATTTATCCAGGGATAGCGTTATATATAAATGTACATGGTTCCTGTTGTGGAAAGGTGGATAATACCATGCGTATCTACACAGTGAAACACTCTCTAGTGGATAAGTATTGTAGGGAAAACAAAATTGCTTTATCTGCTGGATAGCGATTTATCCAGTTGATATCATTGTCCATCTGAGTGACTGAGGTCAGGGTCCAGTTGTTTAAACATAGGATAGGGTTATCTATTGCATAAGTCACTTTCCAGTGGATAAGTATTAGGGAAACCAATAAAAATATTGCACTATCCATTGGATGGAGATTTATCCAGAGGTTGGAGTAGTCCTTAGATTTAACCCAAAGGGAAGGGTGGGATTAATAGAGAATTAATAGTAATAAATAACTTGCAATTATTGCAAATGCATACCAAGTTTCATTTTTATATTGTACCATTTTGAGATTTCACATAATAAACATGTGTTCTGTAATGATATCTGGTTTATACTGTCTTAATCTATCGCAGGTTTATTTGTCCTTTTTGTAACATTTTTGCAGGCTGGCTGGACTAATCTTAATTCATCCCTCAGGGGAAATCTGAGAAGGATATCAAAGTCATTAGTTTTTGTTTCTGCAAAAAAGCCTGAGTCAAAGTTAACATTTGATACAGTGATGTCCGAGGCAAAGAATGCAACTGTTGGTATGTATTTTTGGAACAAATCAATAAATAAAATTAAGTAATGCACTTTTTCATATAAAAAGTATTGCTAGAATACGAATATTTGGCCGACGGACCTTGCTACATCCAAATTTGTTATTGGTCTGTTTCGATCCTATTATCTGATGCACAGTAAGCCTCAAGATGCCTATCTTTAAAAATCTGCAATTTTTCATAGACTTCTGTGCTTTCAAACCATCCAGGCTATGTTGCATTAATCCAATGATGCGGAATGGGGTCTTTTTTTATGAAGGTTCTCGGTTAAATCTGAAGACTACCCCACAGAGAAGGTCCTATGCAGCGGCTTGAAAGTTAAAAACATGGCTACGCTTAAATGACTCGCAAGAAAGGCTCAGTAATGTGACAGTTCCAAACAGCCACAAAGAGAGAACAAACAAATTTGCCTCACCAACTTAGCAAATAAATATGCTGTTCATAACTATAATTAGAAAAGAAATTTTGGTATATTAAGACTCCAGCCCCCCTCCCCCAACTTCAAAAGGGGTGGTCGCCGGCCCCTGCACTTTAAAAACTGCTCCGCGGGCCCTGGGTGAGAGGGTTAGATGGCCGCTTACGAGAGCTTGCTCATGCAGCTACAAAATCAACGTAACATAAGTGGTGTTTTGAAGAGTATGTGATAAATGATATAGATCCATTCAAATGAACAGATTCAGAGGTGAACAAGATTTCATCTTGGGTGTCTGCTTACAGTCACTGTGCCTTCTTTTGTATTTGCTGTGTAATTTTAACCTTCTTTTAATGTTTTGAGTTGTTATTTTTATGTTTTGCTCAGTTTGGTGGCAGCTCTCAGTTTGAATCCTGATAGATTTTGTGACGCAGCCCCTTTTCTTAAAAGAGCTGACTGTTCTATGTTGTTTCAGTTTTGTTTGGTGAACAACACCATGAGCCATCGATTCTCAAGGCCCAGTTATGTGTCCTTGAAAGAATGGTATCACAAACACAGCTTCTGTCTACCAACACTTCCAAGGGTGCAGGAAATGTTACAGTTGTCATGGAGATGTTTAACTTTCAACAGCAACCTTTGCTTGATGCATATCAGGCTGACCAAATTTCATTAGATGAACTTTCAAATAAATACAAAGGAACTGAAGGATTTGCACTGGAGCATTACGGATATATCTTAGAAGTTGCTAAAAAACTTGGAGTCAAGCTAGTGGCTGGGTTTGTGCCCAAACCATTTTGCAGCATGATGGTTAATGAGGGTAAAAACCATGTTCTTGAAAAAATAGAAAAAAGTGGAGGACCACCAAGAGAATTTTATGTTGATGGATCTGAGGATCATTATCGATACTTTCAAGGACTTATCAGTGGAAATCTTGACAAAGTTGTGGACAAGTATCGTCGGATATTTCCAGCACAGATACTAAGAGATAGTGCATTTGCTTACACAGTTATGGATATAGTACAAAAGTCAAATGGACAGACTAGAGTCTTGGGTATCTGTGGATCAGGACACTTAGATTACAAATTTGGTATTCCTGAGCGGATATCACCAGAGGTCCCCATTTATGTGCTGACATCACGTGCTCAAGATGACCCAGTGGAACATAATGTTGCTGACTGCATCTTTCAGTATTCATAATGTGGTATTTGTAGTTCAACTTTTCTTTTAACAATTTTTTGAAACAGTTTTCCTTGTTTGTAAAAATGATATGGGACAAAATAATTCAGTGATTGAAAATCTTACAACATTGACCTTGTATTACTGTATTACCGCTGTTCCATATCTCTTCCACTATACGGGTTCCGATGATTATTCCCAAGAAGAAACAAACAGAACAGAACAATGAAATTACAACAACAACAACAATTTTATTCCACATAGTTCAGATACTAAATAAATACATACTCAGTTAATAGAGCGGTTTTCATTTGAGTGTCGAAAAGTAATTGGTTTTGCACTTTCTACACGATGCGATTGGCTTAAAAGATTCGCGCCACCTTTTCATCCAATCAGAAGTAAAACCAAAGCCAATTGTGACGCGCTCGCATGCATTTTCCCGCGCTTTGCGTCAGCCACATGTAATTACTGCGAGTTTTGATTGGTTCAATGTATTGTCTGTGTCCTATGTGATTGGTCAGAGTAATTACTTTGGTTTTGGTTTTACGACACTCAAACGAAAACCACTCTAATTAACTGAGTTTGTATTTACCGGTACTTTGCATTTTATTAGTCACAGGTATAAGAAATCAGAAAATTAACTTTCCCACCTGTAATATCATAAAAGGCTATTCGAAGCAGGGGAAAGATGAAAACAAACTTAAGGTAACAAAATAAGACAAAAACTGATTACAGCAAACTAAGACAACAATACAATAAAAGCGGAAAAATTTACAACCAAAGATAAATGAATAATTCAATAAGGTTGAATAAGAAAATTAAATCAAAAAAAGAAACCGTGAAGAAATTGAAACTTATGCCCCTGTTCTAATTTATTTACATCTGCTCGCATTTAGTGGAAAGCTGAATTTATCAGTTTTCAGGGCAACTCACTGCAGCCAGAACAACAGAACAAGATTAATGTGCTAAAGAAAAAAGATGTTGCTACTTTTGGGTCCCCACCTCCATTATGATAACATTCTCTCTATGAAAGTGCTTGATTTGTGAATTATGACCTCTATTACTCTATTTCAAACATTTACAAATTTGTTGGTACTATTTTGTTTTTTATAATTATTGGTTTTGGGGATTTTTGGAAAAAAACCTCCTTTGCAGAAACCAGGTAACAACATCTTACTATTTTCATAAAAAAAAAATACCAATACAGACAGTGATGCAGAGCTTGCCTAGGTAAACAGCAGATGATTTACTTAAGTAATTTCAAATGGCATATTCTTTGGAAATTATATGAGCCAATGGGTTTGTAAGTTAAGGGGAAAAGAGGAAAATTTAAATATATGGTATATACAATACATAATTTTGAACTGCAGAGTTGCAAAATCAACTTTGCATTTATTGGCAGGGCCCATTTGTCGCATTTCCAGTTTTATTAAACAGTGAATAAGTTATCACACTCTACAGAATTAACCTTGAGTTATTTTGTTTATACTGGAATTAAAAAAGTGCCTATGTCAACTGACTTCTTTCTTTTGTGGTGTGTACAATGTATGTGAAAAAGTGTGAAAATGTACAAATTAAAACCTTATGTACTGACTATTGAAAATAAATTAAAAATCTCTTATCTCAAAGGCACTATCTAACACATACTCAATGTGTAGTTTGATGCAAATTCAAGAAATGAAGCAAAGCGAAAAAAAAAAACAGCAAACAACAACACAGTGTGAACAACAACAAAAACTGGGGTGGCGAATGGTACCTCGAAAAACGTGGGTCTCGGAAAATTTTGGCAGGAACTCGAAATCTCGGAAACGTTTTTGATAAGTCTCGAAGTCTCGTTTTTTCATGGTTTGTTTTTACTTTTTTTGAGTCTCGAAACTTTTCACCAAAGAGTCTTGGGCTCGGATTTCTAACTAGGATCTCGGCGTCTCGGCAGGTCTCGGATTTACCATTCGCCACCCCTAAAAACAGTAGCCTGCGTAGCTGCGGTATTGTGTGGGTGCGAGATTAAAGTTTTGGCGGCGGAGCCGTGTTCCAAAAAAAGGGAGTAGCCCCTAGGCGTTCTCGGCTCGGTCGAGAGCTGTAACGCGACGTTACTTAGAGATACATGCCGAGAACGCCTAGCCAAGCCAAAAACTGGCAATATTTAATTCCATCTTTATATTATAGGGAAAATAGGCCAGGAAAATGTGTTAAGGAATATTCTACAAAGAAAAAAAGCCTTTCCACACTATAAAAATAACAAGTTAAAAAAGTCGAAAATTTGGGATTTTTCCAAAGGGGTTAGCCCATGGTATTGGTTAAAAATTCGCAATTTTTCCATTTTTTTAATATAGGCAAAATAGCCCAGCAAAATGCAGTGTTTGAGAGTATTCTAGAAAGAACAAAAGCCTGTCCGGACCATAAAAAGAAATTAAAACAGTCGAAAAATTGGGATTTTTCCAAAGGTTTTGGTTAAAAATTGGCAATTTTTCCATCTTTTTATCATAGGCGAAATAGGTCAGGAAAAATGTGTTTGAGGATATTATAGGAAGAAAAAAAGCCTTTCCAGACTATAAAAACAACAAATAAAAAAAGTGGAAAATTTGCGATTTTTCCAGAGGGGTTAGTCCATGGCTTTGGTCAAAAATTGGCAATTTTTCCATATTTTACTGAAATATAGGCAAAATAGCCCAGCACAGTGTGTTTGAGAGTATTCTAGAAAGAAAAAAGTCTTTCTAGACTTTAAAAACAACAAGTTAAAAAAGTCAAAAACCTGGGATTTTTCCAAAGGGCAGTGAAAGGGATTGTCACTGGTTTTGGTCAAAAATTGGCAATTTTTCCATCTCTTTAACATAGGCAAAAAAGACAAGAAAAATGTGTCTGAGAATATTCTAGAAAGAAACAAAAGCCTTTCCAGACTATAAAAACAACAAGTTAAAAAACTCAAAAATTTGGGATTTTTCCAAAGAAAATACTGTTGGTGTGATTTTGATTGGTGGACGCGTAATGCTTGTTTGTGATTGGTGTGCCCGTGTCCAGCAATTTTAACTCAATGTTGTACCCAATTCAAATCTCCCGGTTCAAGATTCTTTGTGTACTGTATACGCTCTTCTCACATATGGTAATATGCCCGTCTAACCTCGTTTACGGGTAAAAATTCTTTTGAAATTCAAATACGAAAACGTCGTCTGATTAGCATTTCAAAGGATTTTTTACTCAAAAACGAGGTTAGACGGGCATATTACCATACGTGAGAAGAGCGTATTTACATTATAATTTTGCATTCACATTTAAATGATATGGAAATCCTTGAAACAAAACGTTTTATCCCCAAAGGGTTTGAATTAGTTTGCCGAATAGGTCTATCCTGTAGGCCACAACCCCCTAGGACACCTCATGAAGTTTACACAACCTACGATTCCTTGTCGCTTCGGTTTTGAGCTGAAAACGCACGTGGCATCGCACCATTTGCAACTGTAACCTGTCATGTCCGACGAAACGTTTCCACGGAACGAAGAGAATATGTCAGGTAACCCTTAATATTTATATTGTCGGTGTTGTTTCAATGCATTCATCCCTGAGTCTTCACTCCCGGTCAATACCGACAGTAAACCGTTTAATGCAGAAGCAACAAGCATAAGTAGCCTTCGTTGCGTGTTCACTTCTCAGTCCGGTTGTGTCCATGAAGGACTTCATAAAGTCCTTTTGCAAAAGACAAGATGACTTTTTGTAGGGAAAATCTTGCTCGAGTAACCGACGTTTTTTGGTGGCTTACTAGCCGAACTGGGAACCAAAAGCAAACACGGTGGAGTCGATCGAAGTCGATGTTCGGTGAAAGGTTTTCGGATTTTGTACGGATTCAAGTCCATCCTTTGAAAGGGAAACGTACAATTGAAAAGGTGCTTAATGAACCGTAAAAGCGTTTAAAAACTTTGATGTTTCTTGTGGGATTGAGAAACAAGAAATTTTTTCAATGTCTGTATTTTTTACTTGTTTTTCAGGTACTTCACGTGAGTTCTGTGTCCAGTGTAGCTGCAGAGTGAAAACTACCTGGGCCGTTTGAGCAGGTGAGGTTAAAGTAAGAGACATTCCAACCCCTTCTGAGGGAAAATTGGGAGGTTTTTGTCAGCCCCAAAGGAGCTAATATGAGAGCCGAAGGCGCGAGTCTTCAGTCAGTCATCTACAGTAATTCTCTAGATTTATTTATTGTGTTTATTAGAATAAATCTGATGCAGAAACCTGGGTTGCCTTAAAAATAATGTATTAAATACCGTATTTATTCGATTAACCGCCCTTGGCGCTTATTAAATATTTGGACCTTGAGAGTGGGCACTTATTCGAGGTGGGCGCTTATTCGAGGCTGGGCGCTTATTAAATTTTCACCATTTTCAGCAAGTGAAGTATGTTTATTTTGCAACAAAATAATAAATGCTAATAAAAAAATGCGAAGAAGTAACAAAGCAAGGTTTCTGTAAAATACTCTGAAGAAAACTCCGTCCTGAGGGAAGTCTCTTATTGGAACTTATTCACTTAAGTGGGTGGGGTAGGCTTGAGCGCTTATTTGAGTTTGATTGGGAGGAGGAGGGGGTGGGCGCTTATTCGAGGCTGGGCGCTTATTCGAGGCTGGGCGCTTATTAGCAGAGCTCTGGCGCGCGAAGCGCGCCTGCGGAGCACCATGGGTAAGTAAATCTACCCATCCCAGAAAATTTGGTAATCACGTGACCGTACACCGCCCGCCCGCCTGTCCGTCCGCATCACAGGGTAACCAGTGTTTAATCCTCACACTTTCTTGCCAGTTTGGGAGCACAGGAAGACTGATATTGCACACATATATTGCAGATCAATGTTGTGATCAATTGACAGGTGTCAAAACAGGGTATCTGCTGACCAGTATCACCTGACACTATCGCGGGCTCAGGTGTCGACCCATCGAGGTTGAATATCTTTTTGAAGTTATCCGCTGACAAGTTACTAGTTTTCAAATGATCGCAGGCGCAAGTTTATTTTTTTTTTAATTCATATGAAATATGTTGTGTTTTGTA